CCACGTTGCTCTATTTTTGTGTTGCATCTAAGAAGGTCTACATCAGTTGTCACAAATTGTAGCCATCGCTGGAACGACATTTGGATGGAGGCCCGTGTATCCAGAATTCCCGTTCGCATGGTTGCGTAAACTTGGAGAGCATCTTCTGTTTGGGAGCTCTGATATTGGAGCGATCTCTTGTATGTCTCAGCCCATGAGTTCGTGCAGCATTCAAGTTTTACTCGCGAAGTGAAGTTGCTTCGGGGCCGATAAAGATCACGCCACGCTGTCCGGCACTTCGTTCGCCCTTCTGTTCTTGTGTTGGTGAGGACCACAGCCAAGTTCCGCTGCGCATGAGGCTGCGTGGGAAGCGTCTTGTCTGGCACCGTCGGGTTCGCTTTGTGCTTGTGGACATAGCGCTGAGGCCACGTACGAACTTTCCAGCATGTCTGCCCAGGCAAAAGCCAGGCAACAACAAACTTGCCCGCATCTCAGCAAGCCTCGTTAACTTTCTTCCGCCCGCGACTGCAGGCTTCTCATTGATCTTTTCTATGTTGATCAGTGCGACTCAGGCAGTGCAGTCCAAGAAAGCTCAGCGGCAGCCCCGCGCTTGCAGAGAAAGCCACGAAAGCGAGACAATGCGACAGAAGGCCGTCGGCGCAGAAACCGAAACCACGAAGACCGGAACTACTTCCTTGGTGTTTCCAACAGGTGCACTGCTCCAAGACTGGGAAAGAGCTCCAAAGCACGAGTGTTACCAGGCGACTCTGCCGAACACAAGCTGTTTCGAGAGCTTGTCCACCATTTGCCAGGAAACGGCAGTGCTTCGAGACGGAGGACCACGTGGTGGAGACCCGTATCATGGTCGTGAAGCGTGTCCGTGCTTTGGCTGCGCATTCTTTGGAGCATCCTGTCAGTTGTCGTTCCGCATCTTTTTGCGCCAAGGTGCCAAGAACTGATGCCTCTGTTTCACCACAACTACGTGTTGTGCATGGGGATGTGCGTCTGCGTTTCATGCTTCTGCATGAGTAGCTGTAGGGGACGGGCATTTGTGAAGCTCGGGGTGCAATTTACATCGATTGCTGAACGCCATCTCAGTGTCGTCGGCGAGCCATGCATTAGCGGCAGCTGATGCAGTAATTCGTGGCAGGTCTGGCGAAGCCTCTCCGGCATCTGAGCCGCTCTCAAACCAATTGCAGATTGGGCCATAGCCTCAGTAGCGGAGCCGTGGAAAGACACTGTTCACAATTCTGACTGAGGCGTAGCCAACGGAAGACGCTATTGCCGCAGGCTGCTCTGGGTCACAAGGCTCGCAAGCTTTGAACTGGAATGGTTTCTTTTAGGGTTGTCCACTTCCTTGCAGACACGTGCGTGAAAGAAGCCTACAGAATGACGGATGTGCAATGCAACCCGCTATGCGTCAGCAAATAGTCTGCTTTCAGAACGTTCTTGCACAGGTCCTGTTGCAATACTGTTGTGCCTGCCAACTGACCGACTGTCGAACATCCCGAAAAATGGTCGATGATCAAGGAGCTTCAGCAGGTACAACCCACAGTGTTGTCGCACCCCTGCTGGCCAACAAACACAAGAATGCAATGCTACACAGCAGCTGCAAAGAGCCTCGCCAATCGAGATGTGGAGAGCAGTGGCTCCAAAGTGTTCGCAGCTGATTCAATCCAGCCCGCAACAGAACTGAGAAAGCTCAATCCAAGTACCCGGCGACTTTCCCAAAGTGTGAGACAGATGTGGGAAGTTGGGAGCACGGCGCATCTCCCACATTTTTGGATTCTGCCTGTCTTGACTTTCAAAGAGAGAAGTCAGACAAGGCATTGCGAACCCAAGACAAAACCATCGCTTCGAAACTGTGAAGGATCAGTAGGGACAACGCCCACCTGGGCGTGTTTCCAGGTTCCGGTGTCTGGGTTTGTATGCCGTGTCAGCAAATTCCGATACATCGTCATTGAAACTGAAACGGTGCTTGTCCGCCGAGGCAAGGATGACTTTGAGGTCCAGTAGGTGCCGAAGACGCAGATGAGATGTAGACTCATGAAGTTGTCTGAGCCCTGTCGACACCGTTCAGGCTGGATGCCTCGAGCTCGGGGTTTCGCTGTCGAGCGATTATGCGAGACTGCCTAAGTTTTGATTGTCAAGGCTGCCTCGACGGAGGAGACTGCACCGGGTTTCTTATTGCTTTCACCAAACTGATCTGTACGCTTTCGGAGATCAGGAGGCTGGTGCAGACAGTCAGTATCTTGGTCGTCCCTTCCGTACCGTAGAGCTTGGCGCTGGCCAGTGAGTGACTTTGGAGGTAAACGGAGAAGCCTCAAGGAAGAGCTTCGGGAGCGCAGATGCGCGGCTGTTGCTGTTTGTGTTGCTGACGGTTCATAGCTTGCAATGGTGAAGGAGCCATCCCTGGATTCGCTGTCAGACAGGCATCGGCCAAACCGTGGGCTGAGGGGCTTGGCAACGCTTAACGCCGCAGCGTGAGCCCAGTGTCAAGATCTCCGATGCCGGGATTTTTCCCGGATTGAACCGGGTGCTGGAAACAGGGATCCCATTCAACTTACCGCGTCAAAGCGCAGAGCCGCAAAGACTGTGGAAGACCTCAAACAAACAGGGCGAAGCGAATGTAGCTTCCGAGAATGTAGCTTCCGAGAGTGGCAGCTTAGCATGTCTTGACAAAAGCATCTCTTGAGACCTCGCTCGACTCGCCGAGCCGAGCACTGATCTGCAAATCAAGGAAATCGCTCCTACCGCAATCTCTGGAAGTTAACTTAGAAGTTGGTTCCAGCTGGGGGAAACCTTGCAGCGCGGCGATTTGTTTCGGCCAGGCAAAGTCTGAGTCGGACCCTCAGTTTCGCATAACCGAATCGATGCTCTTTGCTGATCTTCTACAATTCGGGCTTGTTGGCGCGGACGCTCGGGGAAGTATTTGTGCCATCATATTACTGTAGAAGCGAATGTGAATTACAGACCAAGCTGCCACAGGCCTCGGCAATCTCTTTCTGGGTTCGTCAGTTCCATGTCGTCTCGGGCTGTGCTTTATCTCCATGTCTCACTTCGCAACTTTTCCGGCAAAGCCTGTTCCACGCCATACTTCCGGTCCTAGATGTGGCGCTGTCAAGGTTTGCTTAAGTGAAACGGCTTGCAAACCCCACAGATCCGACTACACTGCTGCATTCTCGAGTGCTTTGAGACATGCGACTGCTTCGTCCTGGCATCTGCAGCACCAAGTTTGGAACAATCCTATGGCATGGTATAAGGCGACAGTGAAGATGGAGTGGGGCCAGGTGGTGCAAGGCAGACGCCGGTCCTTTCTAGTGTCTCCGAGCCGGGCTGCAATCGCAGTGGCCTGCAGGCCAGATCGCCGTTGGTCTGGTGCATCGTCCAACCCAGAGGCGGAGACCGGACGGTCTGCATCGAATGGGAGGATTGCAAATCCCCGTCAGAGGAGACAAATGTGTGGATTGAGAAGACTCCGTCGCACCAAGCCTTGCTGTTGTCGCTTTCTCAAAACATGGCCATGTGCCAAGAAGTACGAATCGTTCCGTTAGACATCAGGCTACGCTCTTGCCGTGCGAAGCTCATCCAAAGATTTGGTGGTATCGATCGTGCATACATCAGGCTGGGCATGTGACATTTTCAGCTTTTGTTCTGCCCTTGCTCTCGTGAGAAGGTCTGTCCCGGCCCTGACCGGCATGACAGCCGAAGTTTTCCGACAGCTTGTGAATATGTGCTTTTCCCGGAAGCATCGTGCAAGCGCTGCCACACTACAAGACTCCGTGACAGTTCAAGGATGAACTTCAGTGACGAGGATGCTCAGAGCATGTCCGCGGCCCATCCTGGCCTGGCCCTTCTCGGAATCAAAAACCTGCTGCCATCGAAGGTTCAGCCTGCTTCTCCGGAGCAGGCCAACGAAAGAACCGAGCTTTGGCTAAGAAGTCCCCATGCTACGCGCCCTGCCTATCCCTGCGCTGCTCTGAGGCGGAATCAAGGAGGACTGTCGGCATGGCCATAGCCTTCGCAGGGCGACCCGTGGCACGTGCCGTCCTGCTGTTCGCCCTGAACGAGCGCAGGATCGAGAACGCTAAGGCGTTCTGAGAAAGCGAAAGAGGAGCTCGAAAGCCGGTTTCAGTTCTCCTACCCACAATTTAACACCTCTGCCTTTCGAAGAAAGAGCTGATGACTTGGTTAACACGCGGACTGAAGCAGGGATGGGACACTCGCCTTGCAGGAGACCCCACATTTCGAACGGCCAGAGTTCAACGAGGCATCCGGAGTGTCGAGGGTAGGACATGCATTACATACTGCGAGCAGCACGGCAGTTCGATCTTCATCAGTTCGTCATGTCAGGCACTGCGGCGAATAATTTCCATCCGTACTCTCCAGCAGCTGAGAGCGAGGCATCACATACCAGATTTCCTGATAGTTGTCCTTCTGTGCCTGCTGTAGTCACTTGTGATCTGTCTTACCTGCAGTTTCAGCTCGGCGAGAGTTGGGTCCTGCTGCTTCAAAACGTTCAGTCTCGAAATGGCAGACATGTCCACGCGGAGTGAGACTCCTGCCCAGGCTGCGCTTGAAATATGGCACTTGCGAGGCCGTCGCCGACACGCGAAGTTCGTCTTTGAGAGCCCTACAGCCCCGGGTTGAGGCGAGTGCTGCTGCCGCCTTTGGGAAGCGGCAGGCCAGGCCCTCTGGCGTGAAGAGCGGAACAGCACAGAAAACACTGCGCCACACTTCGCCTGAAAGTAAGCCCGTGGCCCGTGGATCTGCAGTCTAAGGTCCTTGTTTATTTGGCATGTTGCAGTTGTTCACTCTGAGGTGCTGGATCGGGTGAGTTTCCGCGACTTCTTACTTGAGAACGGTGTGTCCGGCCGGGAGGACAGCTTGCGAGGTCCACCCGAGCGCAGGCAAATGTGAACATGGCTTCTGCAAGGCACGGAATCTGTTCTTCAAGATGGCAAGGAACAATGAAGTGTCCAGCCCACTCCTGGGTTCGGGTGAGGGGTGCGGCTCCATTCCCACGAGATTCCACGAGCACCGGCTGGACACGTTTTTGAGGCTCAACTCACGACGGGCAAGAGCCAGACAATGAAGGCCTCATCGGACGCTCAATCGCGATTCCTGTTGCTTTGCATCCGTCTTGGAGGCCATGTCGATCAGGTGCGGCGGGGTGCCTCGTACTTGTGCTTTTGCGTGCTTTTGCGATTCTCTTGCGACCCTCGCAGGTGACTCGCCTTGCCTTCTTCAAATCGCTGGTCCTCGCCGAAGGCGACTTCCCTCTGAGCCAAAGTTTTGGAATGGGCGCGGGTTTTCAGCTTGAGGCCTGCAAGCTGCAGAAGTTTTCCGCGAGGAGCTCATGGAGATGCTTGGCCAGGGACCTAAAATGCTCGCACGCATGTCAGCGGAACCCGCGGCGGTTCCGTGAACCAATCAATCAAGATCAATCAGAATTCCCGGATTCCAGGCATATCTCACAAAGAGAAAACCCCAGACTTTCTGTGAGTTGGCTTTCGAGATGATTCAAGTTGGCGTTTCGGCTAGCCAGTTAGTAAAGAAGGATGAATGATCCCTGATTGACCTACTCTTACGAGTCGAATCTTCCCAAATCGGTCGACATCCTCAACTACAAGATTGGGCACAGGTCATGCCCATGATGCTTTGAGGGCGCCCATAAGTGGGAAAGGTCGAGGACGTTCAATGGCCACCAGCCCTACGAATTGATGTTCAGTGATGTCCAGCGGTTGCATGCCAGAAGGGGCTACACACCTCCAGCACATCACCGAATTACCGGCCAACACGGGTAACAGCTTAGCACGCCTGGGATCTATGATGCTCATCGCATTGACGCGGGCACGCTCCTTCACGGCAGCTGCTCTCCAAGGATTTCAGGAGTCCCATCCAATACGATGGAACATAGTGTATGACGGCCTTGCACATGACACCCTGCCACCACCCAAAGAGGAGTCGCCACGGCACTGGCCAACCACCTCATTTGCGCAGTCTGGTTGCGGCTCTTAGCCATGTGCTGGGGTAATACAGCAAGTCTTGTCTGCGGATGTTGCGGTCGGCTCGCGCAAGGCATAGGACTGCTGCTGCCGTGAAGGAGCGTGACCCCGTCAATGCGGTGAGCATCATAGATCCCTGGCGTGCTAAGCCGTCCCACGTGTTGGCCGATATTTCGGTGATGTGGACATCACTGAACATCCAGTTGTAGGGCTGGTGGCCATTGGACGTACCATTCGAAGCAAGCCCCGAGATCAACTTCTCCTCGCTTCAACTACTCTTCGACAAGTTCCTGTGTACAGGGGAACATTGATGAGAGAACCCGAGAATGCTGGGGCGGGTGGAACAGCGTCATGAACTGGCGTGGCGCCATTCCATGCGGTGGCCCCACCCTGCAGCCTGTCAGCACCTTTCAAGCTCACGGCTGTATTGAAGAATTGAATTTTCGAGACTGCCAGCTACTCATCGGAAGGCAGATGCTTCCGGGTTTGCTGGTCGAAGTGGTGTCCCATAGAAGCCAGCTGCCACAAACGGCAAGTTGCAGTGGTCCAGAATGCGAGGCCAAAAAACCTGTCGGGAGCTTCCAATGCGCAGTCTGGCAAGGTCACGACGCCAACGGCGCAGCCCTGCCCGGTCCGTCAGCCCTTCCTGTCCTGGGCGCGAGGTTTGAACGTGCAGAGCCCAGCGCATGGATGAGAGCTGCACACATGTTGCAGAGCGTTGAAAGCCATGAGGAATTCGGAGAGGGGCGGCGGCGCTGACGGAGGACCTCCTAACGAACCTTTTTCAAGGCGGAGGGCAGCTTTGTATGTCATGCTGTTTCGGTCTTGGAGTCACGTGTTTGTGTTGATGCTGGTATCTTCTGAAGTGGTGGCACACAGCCGGCAGGGGTCGACCGCGCTGTGGCGGAGGCTCACGCAACTCATGCAGCTTATGCTCAGGGCAGCCCCATACAGCCTACAACATGAAGCACGACGGGTGTTGCAGCAGGCGAAAACTCCACATGTCAGCGAAGGGCTGCCGGACTGGGAGACAAAACGGGGGGCATTGTGCGACTTTTGCACGGATGCTAAAGTGAAGGACAACCGCGCATTCAACTTCCAGCTGCCGGGTCTGCCGCAGGCGTGCAGAGGAAGATCCAAGCAGCTCTGTCGAGTCTGCCTTTCACTGCCAGGCCGAACCGTACAGCAAGCCTGGTGCCGTGCTGAGCATTCAGTATGCGGATCTGCATGACTGGTCGTGCATTCCAACTCGAAAGGTGGCACTAGCCGGCACGTGGATGCCACAGCACTCGGCGGTGTCACATCGAACCGTCGGAACAGCTTCGTGGCACGAGTTGCGCCAGCTGCAGTCGCCACGGCACGTGGGACAGGGTCCAAGTCTTCCAACGCACCTGGAAGAGGCTCCCTGGCCCTGTCCGGACTGAATGCTGATCATCTGGATCGGCGATCGCGCAATGAACCGAGTGAAGCTGCCAGTCAAGGCACTTCGAGCTCATCTGAGTCGGGATCCGATACGCCTGTAGACGGTGCACACAGACGGCCGTCCCAGCTCATTCCACTTGGTGTTAACGGGAGGACGACAAGCAAGGCGAGCAGCAGCCGGTCGAGGAGAAGCAGTTTAGCAACGTCCGAGTCCAGCAGGTCAGAAGATGTAAAGAGATTCTCCTTGCTCGAAAAACGCCTTCATGTTGAAACAGAGATGCAGTTCAATGCGGCTCTCTTGAAAGTGTTTGACAACATGGTGCTTGGCCCAGACATCAACCCTTGGGAACCTATGACGCGAAACCATTTCATGCATGTTTTGAAGCCGATGAAGAAGCTGAGCGAAGAGAATCTGAAGGCCCTCTTCCTCCTAGATGGCCATCGCCAGTCCGAGGGGAAAGCAATCCCTCAAGAGCTGGCCTTGCGGGCCTTGGCAGGTTTCGGTCATGGCTGCCGAGAGCTCAAGGTGCATCTTGGCTACAAAGTGGAAGAAGAATCCAAGCTTCCGAAAGTGAAAGCTGCAGCCAAGCCGAAGGCAGCGGTGACAGCAACGGAAGCAACTGGTCTGGTGGTTGCAGGTCCTTCGAACCTTCAAGCCTTGACGGAGGATGGGAAAGAGCTTCCAGGCCTTGCTATTGGCACGCGCCTTGCGGGTAAGGAACTGTTTGCGAAAGCCGTCAGAAAAGTTGGGCTTACCACAAAGCTCATGCCAAAGAAGGAGGCCGTAACGTTACCAGCCTTGACAGTTGTTGGCAAAGAGGGCACTGAGGAGCGCGAGGCCTCTCCCTTCCAGTGGCGACCGGTACGAAAAGCTTCAAGCGTGCTGAGGCAATCGTCCAGTCTCGGCGAGCTTGATGTGAGGTTGAGTGGCAAGGCGTGGGAGGGCACAAAAACCGAGATGCAAGTCGTTCGAGGTAGAACACGCTCCGTTCGGATGCTACGGTCACGTTTATAGTGCCGTGGGCCACCGCCCACGCCCATTGGCATTCGGGGTTTTCCGAACCAATCACTGCTGTTCGGCTTTGGAGTTTCGAGCTGCCACCCATCATCTCCCATGAGACAGGGATGCGTCTCTGGGTTTAGCCGGTCTCCTTTTCGCAACAGGGTTGTCTTGCCACCTATCATTTCCTACAAGGGTTTTGTCGTTCATCTTCTCAGATGTCCTTCCTTTGCCGTTTGAGGGTTGGCCTTTATCACACAATTTTGGGGAGGATGTGCCGTGCATCATCTCTTTGCAGGGCCGAGGGTTTGCCATCCGTCATCATCTCCTCTTTCGGTTTAAGGTTGGCGCAACTTCCTCTTGGGGCCTGAGAGTTGGGGGTGTGCAGTCGAGCATCTTGTTTTTCGCTTGCCATTGATCGCTTCCATTTTGGGCTCAACCGTTTCGGCTTGCATAGCGTTCTTTTTCGGGCTTCAAGTTGCCATCCATCACTTTCTTTCGGGTTAAAGGTTTGCCATCCGTCGTCTTCTTGCTGAAGGTTTTTCTATTCAACGTGTCCTTTCACGGTTTAGGTCTTGCTATGTAGTTTCGAATCTGACGTTTACAACCCACCATCTCCTTTCAGGGTCTAGGGTTTGCTACTCATCATCGAACTTTTGCGGCTTGTGACTTGCCATCCAGCACCTGTGCCGTCGTTTCGTTTTCAGATTCCAGGTCGGCCATCTATGATCGCCTTTCCAGGAGTTAGGTCTTGCCACGGCCCATCATTTCAATTGAGGGTTTGCCATCCTCTTTCCGCTTGCTTCTGGCTAGCCCCCAGCTTTTGGAAGTCTGGGGTTTGCTGGCCATCATGTCTTCTCAGTTTAGGGTTTGCCATCTGTCCTTTCGTTTTCAGGTTCAGTCATTTCTTTTCACGGCTTGAGGTTTGCCACCTTTGAGGTTCCGGGTTTACAATTTTTCAATGCTTGCCAACCATTGCCCATTCAATTCTTTTCGGGTTGGCGGTTTGGTATCCATTATCTCCGTTTTGGGATCAGAGTTTGCCGCATCGTGTCTTTTGAGGTTTATGGTTTGTCAAGCATCATCTCCTGTTAGGCTTTTGTTGTGCATCGCTTCCTTGTGGGGTTCAGGTCTGCCATCCGCTATCTCTTTTCAGTTTTGTGGCCTTTCCATCTTTCATCTCCTTTAGGGTTTCGGGTTTGTTTCCCAGAATTTCGTCTGGGGGTTTCCAGACGGCCGTGTCATGTTTTGGGTTTCAATCCGCCATGGTCTTTTAGGCTTCGGAATTTGACACCCGTGGTTTAACTTAATGGTTTATGTGGGGTTTGGCTTCCAGCTTGGAGAGTTTACAGGCTCGGGTTGCGGGTTTGCCATCATCATCTGTTTCCCAGCCAAACTTCCCATCCATCATTTTAATGTTCGTCTTTAGGGTACGGTATCCAACATGTCGTTGCTGAGAGTTTGCCGGCGTCGTGGCATCCATCATGATCCATCTTGTCTTATTGGCTTTTTCCATCCGTCACGTTTATTATGGTTTGCCATCCGTCGTTCAATTGCAGTCGGTTTAACGTTTGCGATCCAGCATCCATGGCCTGTGGTAACGTCCCCCGTGGCCACGCGATGCAGGGAACCGACAAGAAATCTCTACCCCGCAATTTCCCTTCATTGAAGAAGCGGGTAAGCACCGATGAGCAGTCACGAGACACCCCTTTTGACCTGATTGCCTCTTCTGTTGCAGTCCCTCAACTAACTAAATTACTAGAACGAACTACAACGGGCTAGTATCCGTAAGATGGTTATCCGAAAGTATGAAGAGATGAGAACGGCACGATCCTAATCTATTGAATTTAATGCCAGATTTACTACCTTTAAGGTCAAGCAGTAGGCATCTCGAAAGAAGGTCTTCAGATGGTCTCATGCAGTAGCGAAGAGGAAGGTGTATCCTCTGAACCGTGTTGTTGTTTCATGATGATAGGAAGCCGCCTGTCTTGATCGTTCACGTCTCCTGCGGAGGTGGCTTGGACGAGCTATGCTTCCAGAGATGAGGCTGACAGGAAAAACACACCCACACTCCATGCGCCTGAGCTGGGTGAAGCGGACATCATCGAGCTTGAATCGCTTGCGAAGCGCGAGTCGAACAAGCTGACCCAGAGGCTTTCGTTCTTCGCAGACAAGCGGCACGCTCTGATATGGTCAGAGTTACGATCGGCGTTTGCCACTCTGCTGAAGAAGGGCTCAGCCCTTCAAGCGTTTCAGCAATTGGGAGGTGATACCCTTGAAAGAGATCCTTTGCGAGACGCTCTCGTCCGAACTCTGAGTCTGCCAACAGTTGATGCAGAGCGGATAACGGCTGCCGTGCTGACCATTGAATCTGACGATGCTGTCGGGAGGGATGACTTCGTGAGAGTCTTGAGATTTCTCCAGCCAGTGCGCTCTGTTTTGGATTTCCGCACGCGCTTGGTTCAACGATTTGGTACGGCCGATGCTGGCTTGGATGCTTTCGTGGAACGCCTTGGAAACGGTACCTTGTCCATAGAACTGTTGGAGAATGTGGCACTGGGATTTGGCATGGGCCGTCAGGAAATGGATGCGATTTTCAAGCAAGCAAGTGTGCTGGGTGGCGGCGGCGGAGTCAGAAGTGCTGAGATTCTGAGGCTAAGCGTGCGCCACGCTCACATTCTACAACAGCTTCACCTGCTTGAGCAATATCTGGGTGGGCCGTCATCCTGTCACGCATGGCTCAACGACCGACCGAATGCCACGGTATTTGATGTTCTTCAGCCACTTGGTGTTTCCTCAAACTTCTGCCAGCAGCTTGTTGTCATGCTTCGCGATCGCGCCTTGAATTCCGTCAAGGCAGGCTGTGATCTGAGACAACCAGGGACTTGACCCCGACTGCCTTTTGATACATGGGAGTGAACAGCTCGCACGCCCGACTTTAGGCAGGGGAGTCTGCGGCTGACCTGATGGAGGCATGGAGACAGCAACGCTGAAGAGAGTCCGAGAGCCTATTGCCGCCGGCCACCGACCTCAGGTCATGCAGTGCCTGGCCGAGACGGAATCGGAAACAGCACTGCCGGAAAGCACAGGAAGAGAGGCGAGGGGCCGAGGGGTTGAGGGGCCGAGGGGTTGAGGGGCTCTCACGACATGGCTCCAGGACCTGGACCAAGCGGGCCTGGAAGCGGCTAAGGAGCTCAGAAGGCAAGGCGCAGCTTGGTTTCCGACTTCTCATGTTGGAAGCACGGGTCCAGCGTTTTTGAATGCTTTTTGAGAGTCAAGGAGGACGGCATGCCAGAAGAGGGAGATAGGAATCCGAATGGAGCGAAGTCGCAAAAAATTTGCTGTCGGGCTGTGTGTGTGTGTGTGTGTGTCCAACCCTGTTTCGAAGGGACCTCGATTTCATGTAGGCAGGGGGCGCAAGAAGCATTCTGGAGTCTTGCGCCAACGAAGACGCTCCAGTTTGCTTGTGATATCACGGGAAGACGTTCCTGTGACGTACCTGCACAACGGCCGCCCGAAGTACCCCAAAGACGCTGTTGTTTCACAATTGGCCGAAATGACAAGATCTAATAACTTCAAGAAGCTGACTCTTCTGACTTTGAGAGTGTGATTCGAGACCTGCGACACGATGTGTCAAGTGTGCTTCACAACGGCATTCCCTACGGGCGCCGTGTCTCCCAGAGGTAGCTCTGGCGTTGACTTTCCCGATTGACTGTATAAGCATTGGATGACTTTCCCTGATTCTATATCCGTGCTTGCAAGCTGACTTTCTCAGTGAGTCTTCACCGAATGCTTATACCGAAACCTGATTGCTGACTTTCCCACTGATTGTCTATGATCACATCGACTTTCCCGAATCTGACTTTTTCGCTGACTTGTCGCAGGTCTTTGGCTACAGATTGAGTACTTGAGCTGTACTTTCGGGTAGTTGCTGATCAGTTTGCCATGGATGCTTCAGGAAAGAGACGCAGTACCCGCACATCAACCCCCCCTCCTCCTCCCCCACCTCTCCCTCCACCCTCCTCCTCCCCCCTTCCCCCTTTGCCTCCCCCTCCCCTCCCCACCTCTGCCCCTCCCCCCTCCCGTGGTACCACAGCGAAGTGGATTCCACCCCCCCCTCCCCTTCCCCCTCCCGCCTTCCCTCCCCCACCCCCCACTCTTGCAGTTTGCCCGGCGCCTGCTTCATCTTCTTCTTTGCCGGTCCCTTCTGCATCCACTGTTGGTGCGGGAACTACAGATGTAACTCCTACCTTGATTGCTGCACGTGCTGTAAATGATCGACAGGTTCCACAGCAAGAGGTTCCCCCTGCAATCACTCTTCATGCAGACGGCGCAGGTTTCCGGTTGTCGTTTCGCTCGGTGGCTGATTTCGCTGAATACTCAGCGATCATGTCGGCAAACTTGACCCATGTCCGAGGCCACAGAGATGTGTACGCTGGCCTTAACAATTTGCTTGACATTCAGCAGTCTGTTGTTTCTCAACAGAATCAGTCAACAGCATCTGTTCAGAGCCAGCAGTCAGCCATCACGTACCAAACGGATGATTCATCCCAGCCAACAAAGCGACTTCGGCAAGTTCATGGAAGCGGAGTTTCTCTCGTTGCAGATCCTAACAGCATTCGACTTCGTGCAATTTGTGATCAGATTCCTGGTACTCATGCAGATCGCGTAGGGTGGCAGCTCAGTGCGGACCAGACTTACGTCTTTCGAGTTAGACCCTTGCAAGACTCGTATGAGCATTTTGAGAATCGATCTCTTCTCAAAGGGCATGTGGAAGTTGAGTGGGAGCAAGATTCAAACTTCTTCGTGATTCCTGAACTTCGTGGGTTGGAAGTGCGCGATGAAGAAGCGAAGCTGATACGTGTGTACTCAGCTAGCTTCAATTGGGTCGCATTATACCCCATGTTTACTGCTCTACGTCACTTGATCAGTTCCAGCCCTGGCCGTATGAAATCGGCATGTGAGATTTCGAGAAAGATACAGGCCAATCTTGAGTTGCAGGTTCCCAGCTCTTTGATGCAAAGCACGGCGGACTATCTGATCAGCCTGTTAGGTCTTCCTCCCCACTCTGTCAATTCGACGGCACTGAAGTATGTCTCTCAGGCAATTGCAGCAGCTGACCAAGCCGCAAACATTCATTCTGTGGAGCTTCGTTCTTTGTCGAGTTCGTGCAAGTGCTTGAGCATCCACTTCACCCACTTTGAGAGGACCATGATCAGGTCGCATACTTCTGCAGCAGGGATTGCTCGTTCCCCTGTTGCACACAACACAACAGTGGCAGCGGCTGCATCAATCCTCCTTGAGGGAACGATCCGACCATCGTGGTGGGATGCGAGTGACAGCAAGTGGTCCCCACCAATTTCCTTCTATGCTAGGGCTCACACTTCAGATGCAGAACAAGCACAAGAGGCAGCGGCCAAGTACGGTGGCATTCTGAGTGAGCGTCCGGTGTGCATTTTCGGACATGCATTTAATCGTCAAGGATCCCTCACGCCTCCCCACTCAAGAATCCCCATGGGAGGGGTTGAAGGTGACCATTCCTGCAGCTACATTCGTGATGTTGCCCGTGCCAAAGATGGCAGATGGGTCTTTCGCTCTTCATGTTTCATCCCGGAAGCGCTTCTTGTTTTTTGGAGGGTCTGAGTGCAACACGCTGCTTTGACCGGCCACGTTCTCAAGTCTCTTCCGTTGTCAACTGCTTTGCACGCATACATGTGTCGAAAACATGTCAGTTAAGATTGCGAGCTGTGCCAGCAAGGGACGTGCAAGTGTGTTGCAAGGGACGTGCAAGTGTACTGCAAGTGTGATGCAAGAGTTGTGCAAGCGATGTGCAAGTATTGCAGTTTGGGAATAACTTGAGCAGGTTTGTTCGCCTACGGAGCCTTTTGATTCGAAGTGTCGTTAGCGATTCCGCGCACTCAGATTTGTCGATAGATCTGAAACCATGGCATGGAATGGACAGTGGGACACCAACACAGGGTACGGGAGGTCCCAACAATCGTGGGGTCAGCACCGCTATCAGCCGTATAGCTCGGGAAGTTGGACTGATCCCAACCTCTCCAAGTCTGCCCCTGCTAGTCAGCCACCTCCACTACCTCCGCCTCCACTTTCTTCGGCACCTTCATCATCGCCGTCTACTCCCATGCCATTTCATCAAAGTCCTGGTCTTGTTCCTGCACTACCGAATGGATGGGCGTCAGATCGTGATCATTATGATTCAACGGTGCTTCATGGGTTGTCCTTTCGTAAGTCCATCGAAGCCACCCCTTGGTCGCGGAAGAAAGGGATCGCAGGAAAAGACCCACTCAGCATTCCTGTTCAGGAATTCCTGTTTCATGGAGTTTCAGATTGGCGTCTTCGAGCATTGAGTCATGGCAAGTTTTTCAGTGTTGTGCCAGTTGCTACGGTTGCCGAAGCAGTGTTCATGTCGCAAGTGACGAAGAACCTTCGAGATCGCAAAGTTGACATTGATGCAGTTGCTACGCAACTCTTTCAGGCCGCTAATCCATCTACAATCATTCCCAACAAGAACACGGATTGTGCAGCTCTGTTTCAGCCGCTGGTTGACAAGATCGTTCAGCTCATGTTTGACAACATGCCGGTGTCTGCAGGCGTCGATCAATCTCAGAAGTTCCTTCAAGTTACGGAAGAGCTCAATCGCCGTCGTGAACAGTTACAAGCCGCAGGACTTCCGGTTACCCCCACGAAACCCGCTTTGAAAACACAGCTCCCGGTTGCCTCGCAATCTAGTGCTCCGTGTCCACAATCCGGGACACCACCGCAGACTTGGGAGAGTGACCTCAAGCGTAAGATCGACAGTGTTCCTGCCGAAGCCCTGAATGATCACAAAGCCCGACTAAAGGGATCAGGAGAGGGGGACGTCGACAAGTGGATCCAGAGCTTCAAACGACCCCTAGGAAAGCGCTTTGTCGATTTTCAAGAGCACATTGTGTCTGTCTCCAAGCTTGTGCAGATCAACTATGGAGGCAAGGAGAAAGCAAAACTGCAAGAACTTGCAGTCAAATTCGGGATCTCGGCGACTTTTGCATCTAGGATGGGCATCAAGAGTCTCTCTACGTGCATTGCAGCGGCAGCCTTTCAAGTTGTCTGAATTGCACACAGCCTTGCTTCCAAGCAACTCTCCGTAAAGGAGATTCGGTCAGCACATGTTCTTATTACAGAGGTTGGCAAGTTCATGTCGTTTGTGCTTCAATTCATTCCGCATGTGGACAAAGTGATGGCCATTTGGTTGCAAGGTTTTTGTCATCTGATTCTACTGTTCCATTACTCCAGGGGTACTTCGCCAGAACAACGGCTGCTTGAAAAATTGCGCAATGCTGGAGTCACGCCGTCTGATTACACGTTCACACGGTTCCAGTGTCCTTGTGCAGTTTATTTGAAAGCCCCCGTGTCTTGGAGTACGCGTTCATCGTTCAAGCAAAGAGACCGATGGATGTATGTGGGAAGTACTTCAATTTCTATTTCGAAGCGTGAAGGCGTGAATTCAACCGGCAGTCCAAACTCAAGCAAGTTCTCCGTGAGCAATATGTTCAAGTTGAACCGGCCATTCGTATTTGGGCTTCGCTGGGCAGGTATTTCGACTTTTCTACGCTTTGTCTGTCTGTTCATGATGACTACAAACAAGCGTGGGTGCAAGAGCATGTCCTTATTGATCGGTGGCAGCCCAGATTGAATTCACCGTTCATTGACCGTTTCTTCATTAAGTCTGCATTGGGCTTCAAGAGACTCAGGCCACGTCCATCTCTCAAGAATGTTTCATTGTTTTCCAGACTTTGGGTCAAAGTTCGAAGACGTGCTGCTTCAACAAGTACTCCGATTCGATGTTTGATGGACAAAAGCCAAGCGTGGTCGCTCTTGTACGATTTGGCATCGTTGACCTCGGCATCTTTCTCTGCTGCGAAAATTGTCAGATCTGCCAAAGTCTCGACGTTAGAGTTGTACGCGATGTTCCGCATGGCCAAGATCATGGAGCAACCTTTCAGATCTAGAGTGGTACAGCTGCTCAAGTCTGCGTTGAAGTTTCGTAACTGCTCTGTACCCCGACACAACAAGTCAGTCACTTTACCTTTTCTGTCTCACCCCTCCTTTGCTGCCCATGTCTCATCTTTTCTGTCTCGTACCATTCAGCAGTTCAAAGGCATCTGCATCCCGTTTCACCTCCCATCTAAGACGCCGAGAGAGTCTGCTCCTCAATCGTTGGGCTCCATTCTTCACAATCACTTTGAGTGGGAGAAGAAGCTTGCTGACACA